TAGGAAGGTTGAGAACCACTGTTCTAGAGCCTCTACCCAACAACATTTATACTCAGTCACATCAAAGACAACAGGTTTATAAAAGCCTACCAAACCACAATGAACTTACTACCGTCAACTTGATTCCAAGACTGTAGATCTTTATGGGAGCAGACTGCCTCATCTTTTTCTGGCATAAAAACACATGCTACTTCTCAATTGCCTCTCAAGTGAAATTTACACTCCTTAATCTCACTGGTCTAATTGTTCCAATGGACTCTTTTTTTACTTAAACTAATTTATTGTTACTACACGACTTCTACTTGCTATGGAACCTTCCTCCACAATGTTTAAGTTTTAAGCACCCACTTAAAGAAAAATCTGATTTATATTCTCCAACAGTAATAATCCCAGGATCTTACACCATTTTTTCTTTTTCTTTGAACTGGGTGAAGATTCATCACATTCAATAATTCATACCAATTTTGTTTCAACTCACACATTACAATACCCTCAATCTGCCAACACTTTTTCCACACTTCTCCCTCTGTTTCCTGTCCATTCTTCCTTTTTCCAACCCTCGGAAACTTTATCCTTGGGTAAATGCTGCCCTTTACAGGTCCTCTCGTATTATAAGCCACAACTTCCCCCTCCCTTACTGCATTTCCCTCATTCCTGGCAAGCATTGTACATATAGTAGTCACTAAATATTTAAACATCATATTTGTATCTAAAAATTTAACAAAAAGAACAGCATCATAATACCTACTTTTCTGTAGTTCAGTAATACATGTGAAAATGTAACAAATAAGATGGTAGTGACACATAATGGTAAGAATGCTAGTAGCTTCCAGTGCTCATCCACAATCAAAGCAAAAGAAATGGTTCAAAAAAGAGCTGCTTAGCAAGCCATTATATAAAGAACCATTAGATAATTTCACACATAATCCATAAAAGGTATTGCTATGTATAGGCTACTCGGGTGAGTCGTCATGTAAAAGGACACCATTTGTACCTTTATCATGGGAATAAATTTCAGTGAAAGTATTAAATCCAATATTACAGAAGATAATTCAGAGTGTAAAAATTTGAAATTGCTTCTTATATCTTAAATAGTGATTTCTATAATTGAGTCACAGAAAATAACTTGAGAATTTACGTATCTCTAACGAACTGAATGCTTCCAAAAACAAGTTAGCAAGAATACTACCATAACCTTTTATTTTTTTACTACGCAAAATCTAAATAACCTGTGTATCTTTAACTATTTTTCATAGAATGCTAACTATACCTAAGATTCAGCCCACAATGCTCTAAGGATGTTATTTAAGCACTGCCAGTCGGAGTACAATATAAGAGCAGACTTGGAATTTTTGTCAAAGGCAGTTGACTTGTTATTGTTGCTAAGTGCCATCGAGTCCTTTCTGATCCACAGTGACCCTACGCACAACTGAATCAAATATTGCCCAGTCCTGTATCATCTTCACAATTGTTAGTCAAAATTGTTGTAGCCACTGTGCCAATTCATCTTGAGAGCCTTCCTCTCTTCAGCTGCTCCTGCACTTTACCACGCATGATGGTTTTCTCTAGGCATTTGACTGTAAGCTTGAATCTGGGAAGAACTGGTGCTATGGGGGGTGACAAGTTTTGCTGCTAACCAGAAAATCAGTTTGAAATCACTGGCTTCTCCGTGGGAGAAAGACAGGGTTTTCGGCTCCCATAGACATTCACAGCCTTGGAAACCACAGGGGAAGTTCTGCTCTGGCATAGAGCGTCCCCACGAGTCAAAATTGTCTTGATGGCGGAGAGTTTGTTTGTTTTTGGTCTGTTTGAGTTCTCAGGGCAGTAGTTTCAGGAGTTCATCCACGTTCTATGGCTCTTAGAAAGTTTACAGTCCATGAAAATTTGAAAATTTTGATTTGGGATTGCCTCCTCTTGATTAAGGTGACCAGACGTCCCACTTTTTAACAATTTTTTCCTCGTCCCGCGTCGTTTTAAAATCCCGATTTTTGGAAAGAATGCATGACAAACTAGGGTATACGGTTTTCGGCTGCCATGCGGCTATTTCGCCAGGATATGAGTTTTCTCAATGGTGTCCCGCTTTTGTCCCGTACCAATGTTAAAATCTGGTCACCTTACCCTTGATTCTTCTACAGAATGTTTGATGAAAATGTTCAGTGACAGTAGTCAGAGACCACCCAGTTCTTTTAGTCTCATGGCAAAGGAGGCATGTTCCTGGAAGCAGCTGGCCACACATTTCATTTTTCTCTTCTAGGCTCACATTTGTCTGTTGTTCCTCTGTGAATAGAGACCAATTTTTGTGCCTTGGATAAGCAAAATTTTATGGCCCCGGCCACTACACAACAAAGTATAAGGTAGAACAGGAGCAAGTAGGCCAGTTAATTGGGATGTTCCTTGAAGCCATGACTCTAAGGAACCAAATCCCATGAGGTATTAGGTTGTACAGAAGCAGCCTCAATAGCTACATTTTTTGGTCACTGTTGTAAATACATCTTGCCAGTTTTTGCAATTTTTAAAAACCAATTCAGCTTTTTACCAGCACTTAAAAGAATCAGCTGTGCCACCCTATCCTTAATGAGACTTTCCCATCATTTTTAACTCCAATTTTCCCTCCTCCCCCACTGTTGGTAACCACTAATAAACTGTGGTCGCTACACTATGTAGAGACTCCCTATACTATTCGTCCTTTCGTGGTGGTTTTATTGCACTCAGCAGATCTTCAAGCTCCATACTGCTGCATGTATCAGCACTTCATTTCTCTTACTGGTTGAAGCGTGTTCCAATTTACGTATGCACCACATTTTATTTGTTGTTGGGCATTTAGGTTGTTTTCACCTTTTCGACTATCACGAATGCAACTGGCCTTTGCATAGGGGTTGATCTCTGAGTTTTTACATTCCAATCTTTTGGATATATACCTAGAAATGGAACTTTTGGTTCATAAGGTTAAGGTGACCAGATTTTAACATTGATAAAACTCATATCCTGGCGAAATAGCCACAGCTATTTCAGCCGCAGCTGAAAACCATATACCCTAGCTTATCGTGCATTCTTTCCAAAAATCAGGGCTTTTTAAAAACGCTGCGGGATGCGGGAAAAATTGTTCAAAAGTGGGACGTCTGGTCACCTTACATAAGGTAGTTCTATTTTTATCTTGTTGGGGAACGACCACATTTTCCCACAGCAGCTGTACCATTTTGTATTCATTTAGTTCTGCAGTAGATAAGAGTTCCAGTTTCCCTACATCTTGGCTAGCATTTGCTGCTCCTGCTGTTTTCCAACCTTGTGGTAGTGAAATAGAATCTCCTTGTGATTTTGATTTGCATCTCTTTGATGGCTAATGAGGGAGCACTGGTGGCATAGGGAGTTATGTATTGGGCTTCTAACAAAAAGATTAGGGGGTCAAACCTATCATCTGTGCCTGTAAACATTTATCCCCTTGGAAATCCTAGGGAGCACTCTGTTGCTATAAATTGGAATGTACTTGATTGCAGTGGGTAGAACAGTGAAGCATCTTTTTATGTGTTTGGTGTCCATTTGAATATCGTCTTTGGTGTAATGTCTATTCAGGCCCTTTACTCATTTTATGATTGGATGATTTTTTGCTATTGAAGTTTTTATATATAGTTTGACTATTAGATTCTTATCAGATATATGGCTGAGTGTACTATTACTAGCTTTGAAAAATGCTTAGACTAATTAGAGAAGGATAACAAATTAGAGGATAAGAAGGTAATACGATTAATGATGTTTTGAAAAGGATTAGTATTTGCCATTTGTGTTTGAAGTCGTGGGTGGCAACTGTTAAAATGTTGATATTTGCTTAATTAAAGTTAGTGAGTTGATCATAGAGCTGGTCAGTATTATTGATGATAAGAGAATGTTTTGTGACAGTGTGTTCTTTGCTGGCAGACTTTGGTTCATCTGGGGCATGATAATATAAGTCCCCAAAACTATTTATTTATTAAATTAATTACTTGACTCTGGAAACCACAGTGCATTTGCACATATATAGATTTTATGTAATGTTAAACTTTGGCATAATTGACAAACTTGAACTCTATAATACTTCATTTAAAGCTCTTCCACCCATGGAACAATTTGGATTACAAATAGATTCCCAATTGCCATTTTCTCTGCTTTTTGACTTATGGATTTGAAAGGCAGAGGCACATAGGACAGACAAATAAAATTTTAAGATCACTGGTCTGACAGGTCTCTGATCCTGAAGAATGAGTTGGGATAACTAGGAACACAAATGAAGTTCTAATATAAAACAAGGTCAACTGCTTTTTATTATGCAGACACTGAACTTTAATGACACTTAATATTAATGAGTAATCTAGTGACAGATACCAGGATTGAGACAGTGATTGGATGATAACCTTCTGCTTAAGGGGAAATTAAATGAAAGCTTCTAAATACGCCCGATAGCCCAAGGGCAGGTTTCCTGTAAGATAGTCACTGGCTAAATACTTTTTTCCACTATGGAAAATTTTTAGGCCTTTGATCTAGAAGTGATTCATATTCTAACTTTTAATGAAAGAGTGATTGGATTTTTTTTAACTTCACTGGCATTGGGAAAGGGGAAGGGGTGCTATCATAAGATCCGTGGTTTTCTGTTTGAAATTGGTCAGACTACATGCATTTCAAAATTCAGACTTTTTTATATTTTAAAATTGGAAGGCAATAATATCTTATGTAAAACTTCCTATTTTTTTTGCAGTAAAACATATGTGTTCATACTGAATGAGATAGTTAAATTGTATAAATACCTTTATGTCAGTTTGGGGTAGGTTTAACCATGAAATGAGTTTTTGAAACTTTTGAATTAGGAATTGAGGATGAGGGATTATGGCTCTGTACTAAGTTTGTCAAGCAGTATCTTTAGTTGAAAGAGTAAAATGACAAGGAGCGGGATGCATAAAAGTGATTATAAGGTTTTTTTTTTGTGCTAAATCAGAGAAATAATGAATGACAAAGTATCTCTGGATTTCTAGGATTTGTACTGTGTTCGCAGTGACCTGGGGAACCTGCTTAAAGCCCTGGGTCGCTTGGAAGAAGCCAAGGTAGGTGTTTGATAGGATGCATTTAAACACCAGTGTTTTGAAAACTTATACTTTTTGCAAAGTCTTCAACTCTTCATTGAGCTATCTTCACAAAACAGCCTTATGAACTTGAGGAAACTGATAGGGCATGAATCACTTCAGATTAGAGCAGGGCCAGACTTTGGCATACCTGTTCTTAATCTGGGAGCAAAGCAAAAAGCACCATTTTGGAGCCTCTCCATTGAGCGATACCATCTTTATAACATTGGGCTCCACCTTATGTGGAATATAAATAACATTCCTTCAAATCTGAGGCTTGCCTGCTGGTGACAAGCAGAGCACCTGTGATTTGGCTCCAGACTCCTATATGATGCAGTTCCCATCGAAAATGCTGTTCTTCTAAGTCCTTTGTGGCTTGTAAGTGGAGAATTTCATACAAATGTTACCCTATAATACTGGCATTTAAAATTCTTATTTAACCTTCCTCCCTTCATCTTCCTTACCCTTTTTTACAGTGGAAGAAAGGCTGTTAAAATGATTACAAATTAGTAATTGGAACATCCTGCTCCTTCTTATCCACACTTCCTCTCCCAAGTTCCTTTTTCCTCTTTTTCAATCCTAGTTGTCTACCTTTTCATCCTTCCTTCCTTTTATTCCTCCCCACCCCACCTCCTTAAAAAAATGAAGGACAAAGCTGGTTTGTTTGGGAAATGGACTGATCGAAAGAAAACTTGCCAAAGTGGAAAGGTGGCTTTTAGCATTCTGTGCTTCCAAATAATGAATTTGAATACCAGGTTGGGTTATTAAAGCTTTTGGTATAATTTAAAATTACATTTATAAATGAAATTGTCTTGTTACAAGCCACCTTACGCAACCGCGCTGCAGGGGTGAGGAGTGGGGAGAAACCAGAATGCTTCTGAAACTCCCACCTGTTGCTCTGAGCCCCACGCGCATGCTAATGCGTGGAGTGTATGCGCAGCGTAGCTGTCTGTTTGCTTTATTCAGGGAGGGAAAAGTTTTTTCAGCACAATCTAATGTTAAAAGGCACTGGTTTTATGTGCATACCCCATAAATTCTGCTGACACTTTGGAATTAACCTTTTGTAGGTTTCTGGCTAACGAATTATATGATTGATTTAAATTTTAGCTGAAAAATCTAATTGATAGTTTATAGAATAAATATTTGATAAGTTTTTACCAAGCGGACAGCTAACATGAATTGCACTTCACTGCAGCTTTAGAGATCGGTTTAGGCTGAGACATTGCGCCTGCCTTAGGTTGCTGACTTCTTTATTTCAGAGCTCTGGAGACATCTAGTTTTGAAAAATGTTATTCTGTTTTGTGAGAACTTAGTAAACAAGAAAATACTTTTGAGTGAAATGCAATGTATTTCTTTTGTAATCAGTGCATTTGAAAATTCAAGCCAGCATATTCCTAGTAGATGGAAGCAAAATTAAGTTATCTTTGTAGAAAATAAAGAGCCTTTCTTCCAGCAAAATCCCTGCTGTATGCAATAGTCCTGATTAACCCTCTCCCTTCTGCATGTTTCCCATGTTACAGACTTGAGACTGTCCTCATTCCCATATGTAATAGACATCCAAAGAATTTCAATTGCTTTGTTGAACTTTTACTAATGATCTTGTTTTTATTTTCTCTCTTGTTTTTGGTTTTTCACCATTGATATTGTATTTAGAAGGTTTCAGGTGGGTGAAACCTCCTATTCCATGCGTAAGGTGCCTCGCTGAAGGGAGCTCGAGGCCTGGATCTAGGGCAGACACACACCTCCTCCTCCTCTTCCAGCAAGGAACGCACCGAAAAGTCACATGATGAGAAATATGGTAACGGGTTTGTAACTGCCACAGCAAAACAATTTGCCTCCATGCCTGAATCTTCTGTCTTGTGGCTTCAGAAACAGCTTAAAATAATTTTATTTACAAGCAAGTTATGTAAGAGAATGTTTTATACTACAGCCACAATTCTATCAAAGATAAGTAAAAGTTAATTAAGATATTAAAAATTATTAGACTTAATTTACTAGTAAAAGCTTCTAACTCTTCTTGTTGTTCATTTTTTTTTCCTTTTTTCTTCTTTGTTTGGATTGCAGCATTCTGCTCTTCTGATGATGCGCTGTGACCCTGCAGTAGCGCAAAGGCTGCGCAGCGTTAATGCGCAGCGTGCGATTGAGCCCCTGTGAACGGTTGACTAGATGAGTAATCTGATTGACTGGCTCCCTCAGTCCTATTCTGTAGCCTTTTTTGGATAAAATTGGGTTTTAACATACCTTGAGTCCAGCTAATCTCATTAAACAAATATTCTCTATGGGCCTGTCTAGTAGATTAATGGATCTGGTTGGCCGTTTGCTGCGTCTAGGGGTGTTCTATGAAGCGCAGCAGTTCGCAGCGATGGCGCAATGCGATGCCGTTAGTTTGCGCAAGCGATGTTTGCGCTCGCATTACAGGGGCCTCAACCTAGGTGCAATCCTGTCATGTGAGGTTTCAGCTTCAGTCTCCTTTGGGAAATGGGCATTATGAGAGTGACGCATAGCGCGGCTTTCTGACACGTGTTTTGGTAGAAAAATGGTTTTGTCCTCGGTAGCATAGTTTAGTGCATTATCGTTATTGTTATTTGGGGCATTATTGTTTAGAGAAGCATTTCCCACATGTGTTTGATAGTATTCCTAATACAGTGCCCAACAAAACAAAGGTCCCAAGGTCAACTAAGTTCAGGGAATCCTGTATAAACTACTAGGCTTAGCAAAGTCATAGAGTAGTGAAGAAGCAGCTTGGGTTTTCTGTTTTCTTAATGCATTTGATCACAAAATTCCTTTTTCTGTGACATCTTGTAGAACACATTTTGGGTAAATGGTGAGGGTAGGAAAATTTGGCCTTGAAGTGTTGCTCTCTAGACAGCACTTTAAAACATACCAAGAGCCCTCAGCATAGAGTCCCTGACTTCCCCGCTGAGTCCCAGTATAAGGGTTGGTCATTGGTTGGCAGAACTGAACATGGTGGTTTGCACTTGGGTTCTGGTGGCGCAGGCGCAGGAGCAGCCAGCTGTGGCAGCGCATTAGTTTTGGCGCAAGCGAGCCTATGCTGCAGGGTCACTTTTGGTTGGTCAGAGAAAGAATAATGATATCACCTTCTTCCCCCCTCCCCCAATCTTTTTTTTTTTTCTCCTTTGCAAAATTTCCCCTTTCCCTTTACCTCCTTTCCCTCCCATCTTCTTTCATTAACCCCTCCTAAAGGCATGTTATTTGAAAGCAATTGAGACGCAACCGAACTTTGCAGTAGCTTGGAGTAATCTTGGCTGTGTTTTCAATGCACAAGGGGAGATTTGGCTTGCCATTCATCACTTTGAAAAGGTTCGTCATTAAATTAATAGTTGATATTTATGAAGTGCTTTTGTGTGCAGGGTTCTTTTAATAGAAATCAACAGTAGTCCTTTGCTTAACCAGCCACGTGATACCGTTATTTCTCTGACAGGATTGTGGTATTCATTGGATTGTCTGTGTTTCCTCAGTTTATAGTTCTGCACTGAGAATATACTTTAGAAGTTAGAAAAGCTTTTAAAAACCATAGGTGGTTATGTTTTTTTTTTTATTCATTGGGGACTCTCACATCTCTTCATAGGTGATTATGTTAAGAGGAAAAATGTCTTTATCTCTAAGATACATTGAAATACTTTTTGAATGGGATGTTTGTCTGGGATTTGCTTTAAAATGATCTGCAAGTAGCGGGGCTTGGTTGGGATACAGATTAAGCCAGATTGAACATGATTTAATTGGTGAAGATGGGTCATTGGGACCCTGAGGGGGTTGTTATATTCCTCTGCTTTGGGTGGGAAGTTTCTATAATAAAAGTGAAAAACGGTTTTTGGTGTGACATATCACCGTAGACAATTGTGTTGTTGATTACATTTATTACACTGTAAGATTACCTGCCTTTCTTGATCAGTGATGTTCTGTAACTTGGCTGCACATGAGTAACTTGTAAAAGATTTACATGACTGCCCCCATCTTCACAGGATCTGCTTTAACTGTCCCGTGATAGAGCCTGCAAAAGCTGAGAATCATTGCTCTCTATATAGCCATTTGTGTTTTAAGAAACTATTCGGATGAAATTTAATGAAGTAACAAACCTTTTTTTAAAAATCATTTCATTGGGGCTCGTACAACTCTTATCACAGTCCATCCATCCATCCATCCATCCATCCATTGTGTCAAGCGAAGTAACAAATCTTACTGATTATATAGCTATAGTTGACATGTCTTTCTGAGACCTTACTTTATAATTCTAGTTGCTGTCCTGTGTTGTATTTCCTTTTCAATAAGAGCTGTTGCTACTTCCTGCCCTAAGTTTTTAGAAGAATTTGGCTGGGTTGATTGTGAACTAGTAGTAAATTATTATTTGGTCTGATAAAATTGAAGTAGGCTCAATTAGAAATTTTTTTCCTTCAGGACCCTTTTGGTTCTTATATGAGAAGTTATTTTAATAACACTGAGTCTGGGAATGATGAAAATGTAATAAATAAGTGGGTTTAAAAAGATTGAATTATACTAGAAAAAATGTAATTGGAGGTGTATAAAATATTCCTAAATGAAAAGTTATAATTGGGAGGTTATTTTGGTAATACCCTAACTTGCCCTAAGTAACTGTTTTGTAATTTTTAGGCTGTCACCCTTGACCCAAATTTTCTGGATGCTTATATTAATTTAGGAAATGTCTTAAAAGAGGCACGCATTTTTGATAGGTGAGTGTTTTGATATTTGATAAACTTTTCTCAGCTTTTGTTCTATTGGCACTGGAGAGTTTTGACTTAAATGATGACAGTTCATTGAAATAAATTATTTTTTCTAATATATCTCTTCTTGCCCACTATGTCAGCTGTTATATTATTTATAGATATTGCTGCCCAACATATTTTTATTGTTGGCATTTCTGAAATCCACCATCATCCTTACTGGGAGTTTAGTTGAAATTTCCTTTATTGTAAATGAAACGATTATTTCTTGGGCTAGAGCAGCAGTTCTCAACCTGTGGGTCGTGACCCTTTTGGGAGTCGAATGACCCTTTCACAGGGGTCGTCCAGTTCATAACAGTAGCAAAATTACAGTTATGAAGTAGCAATGAAAATACTTTTATGTTTGGGGGGGTCACCACAACATGAGGCACTGTATTAAAGGGTCATGGCATTAGGAAGGTTGAGAACCACTGAGCTAGAGTATTCTTTTAATCTGATTTAGAAAAAACTAAGTACATCTTGTCTTTTAACTGTGTTGTTAAAGGAAAGCCCATTTTCTTATTGGGGAATAGAAAAAAGTTAATGTTGAGAGACATTTAATATGGAAAATCTTGGTATATGATTTAATAATAGTGTGGATTAATTGTAGTTAATAACAATTAATTGATACGCTGGTATAGTGTAGCATGATTTAATTGTAACAAAGCATCTTGTAAAAACTGAATTTTGTGTGTGGGTGTTTGTTTATTTTTTTATTTACAGAGCTGTGGCAGCTTACCTTCGTGCCCTAAGCCTGAGTCCAAATCATGCAGTGGTGCACGGCAACCTGGCTTGTGTATACTATGAGCAAGGCTTGATAGATCTGGCAATAGACACCTACAGGCGAGCTATTGAACTGCAACCACATTTTCCTGACGCTTACTGTAACCTAGCCAATGCTCTCAAAGAGAAGGGCAGTGTAAGGATTTTTACTCAGTCTATTTCTTTGTTACTTGGTAGGATTTAAAACATCTTTCTGTACATATTGTTATTAAGTACTGAGATAGTAAATTCTTTTATTTTGGTGTTTGGTTGAGGGAAAGAATAGCAAAAATACTAATTTTTCTGGAATATTAGAACTCCAGAATTTTTAGAAAATATTGTTATTTTTAGACTAACAGTGATTAGGATTGTCAGAAAAACATATCAGTAATGTAACTGTGATTCTCCTGTATAGTTTTTCAACCTTTTTTTTTTTTAGGTTGCTGAAGCAGAAGATTGCTATAATACAGCTCTCCGTCTATGCCCCACTCATGCAGATTCTCTGAATAACCTAGCGAATATCAAAAGAGAACAGGGAAACATTGAAGAGGCAGTCCGCTTGTATCGTAAAGCATTAGAAGTATGTTGAAGGTGGTATGGCTGGGTGTTTTGTCTATGTGGTATGGTAGTAGAAGGAAAGCGGTCAAGTTTATTGTGTCATCCACTTTTTTGGTTAAAATAGACAGTGGCTAATAATTTAAAATAGGCCTATACGTTGTGTGAGTAATTGAGTTCCTAAGGTCTTTTGTGGTGTTGAATAAAATTCCAGTATTTAGAAAGAGCATAATTTTATGAGTAGATAAACAAATCCAAAGCATTTGAATTATAGTTCTGGTAAAGAATGCTGAAAGCCCTACAGACTGTCAGAAGAACAAATAAATTTGTCTCCGAAGAAGTATATCCAGAATGTTCTTTACAACGGAGGATGGTGAGACTCTCACATGCTTTGGACATGTCAAGAGATACCAGCCCTGGAAAAAGGATATCATGGTTGGTAAAGTGGAGAGTCAGTGATAAAAAAGGAGACTGCCAAGGAGATGAATTGACCCAGTGGCTGCAACTGTGGGTTCAAACATAACAATTGTGAGGACGGTCCGGGACCAAACAGAGTTTTGTTCTGTTGGGTATCGGGTCGTGATCAGTAGCACGGCACCTAGCACAGCAAGATAAATAGTAAGCCACAGTTCGAAAGAAGTCACCAACAAGTATGCAGTTTCAGTGCTTGAGGCCTGTTAGGGTGGCTAGTACTTTTTTTTTAAAGATCATTTTATTGGGGGCTCTTACAACTCTTGTTACAATCCATACATCCATTGTATCAGACATAGTATATATATTGCCATCATTCTTTTCTAGACATTTACTTTGTATTGAGCCCTTGGGATCAGGCCCCCCTCCCAGGGCTGGTACTTTGGTAAGAGTTTTAGAAGACAGATCTTAATGGTGCTAGAGTGTTAAGCATAAACTAAGAGCAGGAGAAGTCTATCTACTTTATTGTGACTTGAAACAAGGAGAGGCATAAAACTAAAGAACAGTATATATGATGATGGGGAAATAGATCTATGTGGCTATATTTATAGGTTTAGTATTAAGGTAGCAGATGAACATTGGGCCTCCACTCAAGTACTCCCTCAATGCAAGAACACTTTCCTCCATTCAAGTACTCTCTCAATGCAAGAACACTTTGTTCTATTAAATTGTCATTCCATGATGCTCACTTTCCCGACATAATCACTGAAGATAAATGGGTGCATACGCAAATGTAGTGAAGAAAGTTGATGGTGCCCGGCTATCAAAAGATACAGCATCTGGGGTCTTAAAAGGCTTGAAGGTAAACAAGTGGCCATCTAGCTCAGAAGCAAGAAAGCCCACATGGAAGAAGCACACCAGCCTGTGTGATCACGAGATGCCCAAGGGATGAGGTATCAGGCACCAGAGAACAAAAAAATCATAACATTGTGAATGAGGGGCAGTGCAGATTGGGGATCCAAGACCCATTTGAGGCAAGTAGACATCCCCTTTCAGAAGGGTCATGGGGAGGGGACTAGCCAGTCAGGGTGAAGTGTAACAACGACAAAACATACAACTTTCCTCTAGTTCTTTAATGTTTCCTTCCCCCCACTATCATGATCCCAGTTCTACCTTACAAATCCGGCTAGACCAGAGGATGTACACTATACAGATAGGAACTGGAAACACAGGCAATGCAGGACAGATGATCCCTTTAGGACCAGTGGTGAGAGTGGCGATACTGGGAGGGTGGAAGGAAGGTGGGGTAGGAACGGGGAACCGATTACAAGGATCTGCATACAGCCTCCTTCCTGGGGGATGGACAACAGAACAATGGGTGAAGGGAGATGTCAGACAGTGTAAGATGTGACAAAATAATAATTTATGAATTATCAAAGGTTCATGAGGGAGCGGAGAGCAGGGAGGGAGGGGAAAAATGAGCTGATAACCAGGGCTCAAGTAGATAGCAAATGTTTTGAGTATGATGGCAACAAATGTACAAATGTGCTTGACACAATGGATGCATGTATGGATTGTGATAAGAGTTTTATGAGCCTCCAATAAAATGATTAAAAAACCCCAAAAAACTAAAGAACACGTAGAATCCAGCTACTAACTCTTGAAAAAGAATGAGTAGACCTGGAAAAGGTATAACTATAAAGTTTAAGATGATCAGTTTTTAGCAGTTTTTTCCCCTTTAATCTCAGGTCTTGACTCTTCCTAGGTGTTTCCAGAGTTTGCTGCTGCCCATTCAAATTTAGCAAGTGTACTGCAGCAGCAGGGAAAACTGCAGGAAGCTCTGATGCATTATAAAGAGGCTATTCGGTAAGAAGCTTCCTTAGGTCCCTCTTTTAAGTTATCTTTTAATTTTTAAATGTGGATATATTTGTCATATATTTAAAGGGTTTTTAATAACATCATTAGCATTACAGAGAATTTTTGTACTAGGTAAATAAAACTTTTGTCCCCTTGTTTAGAATTAGTCCTACCTTTGCTGATGCCTACTCTAACATGGGAAATACTCTAAAGGAAATGCAGGATGTTCAGGGAGCCTTGCAGTGTTATACCCGTGCCATCCAGATTAACCCTGCATTTGCAGATGCCCACAGCAATCTGGCTTCCATTCACAAGGTACTCCTACTTATTATAACAACATGTATGTTAGGATCTAGTGTTTAATTTTATGAAACTTTATATCATTCCAATTTCTTTCTTTCCAGGATTCAGGGAATATTCCAGAAGCAATAGCTTCTTATCGTACTGCTCTGAAACTTAAACCTGATTTTCCTGATGCTTATTGTAACTTGGCTCATTGCCTGCAGGTAAGGAATAACAGGCGAGTAATTGGCTGTCAGTGTTGTAATCACTTTTTAATTGCTTATGTGGCATAGTAATCCAAATTGACTGGAGACAGTATCTTATTATACAGCGGTTCTCAACCTGTGGGTTGGACGACCCTTTCACAGGGGTCGCCCGGTTCCTAACAGTAGCAAAATTACAGTTATGAAGTAGCAACAAAAATGATTTTATGGTTGGGGGTCATCGCAATATGAGGAACTGTATGAAAGGGTTGTGGCAGGTTGAGAACCATTGTTCTAATCGATTATCTGATACCGCTTTAGTCCAAAGACATAGAAAATGTTAAATACTGAGGCACGGTTTTCTGTGCTTGACTTCTTTTGCGTTCTTTAGATTGTCTGTGATTGGACAGACTATGATGAGCGAATGAAGAAGCTGGTCAGCATTGTGGCTGACCAGTTAGAGAAGAATAGGTTGCCTTCTGTGCATCCTCATCATAGTATGCTATACCCCCTTTCTCATGGCTTCAGGAAGGCTATTGCTGAGAGGCATGGGAACCTCTGCTTGGATAAGGTAAGATTCTTTCTTTGTAAAATAAAACATAAATATTGAAAATTATACTAAACATGAATTATCTAGTGGACACCATCCAATTAAGAAACTATCAGCTATTCAAGAAACCCTGATATGTGTGCAATTAAAACCCCCTCTCTCTTATGGCGGCATTCTGAACTAAAAAGCTAAAATATACTGATATTTCCATTAAGTTAAAAACTGTAACATTCCCCCTCCCTGGGGGATAGACAAAAGAAAAGTGAGTGAAGGGAGACGTCGGAGAGGGCAAGATATGACTAAATAGTAGTTTATAAATTATCAGGGGTTCATGAGGGAGGGGGAGGTGGGAAGGGAGGGGAAAACATGAGGACCTGATGCCGGGGGCTTAAGTGGAGAGCAAATGTTTTGCGAATGATGAGGGCCATTAATGTACAAATGGGCTTTACACAATTGATGTGTGTATGGATTGTGATAAGAGTTGTATGAGCCCCTAATAAGACGATTGAAAACAAAACAAACAAAAAAAGCCCCCTGTAACGTTAATAAAAGATTTGGTGTGGTATATATAGTCTTTGAGAATTTGAGTACTGCTTAATCAAAGATTAGAATTTGCTTGGCAGAATAGATTGGAGTGGTAGTTATAATTTTGCTTAAAAATGACTTCCTTATGGAATTTTCTAAATCTCAGAGTCTGTTATGCTATGTTCGCAGTATCTCATTCCTACAAGTTTTAGCTTTGCTGTGGAGATAGAGATATAGAAACATGTCCAGGCATGAAACTTACATAAGCCATTACAGTTGTAATGAACTGTCTATATGAATTGAATGAAGTTTCCTAGGTAATATATTTAAAGTATTTTTAGTTAGTTCTCTTAGGTGAAAATAAGCACCAAATGTGCGGATAAACGTTGTCTTCTGTTGGTAGATCAATGTCCTTCATAAGCCACCATATGAGCATCCAAAAGACTTGAAGCTCAGTGATGGTCGACTGCGTGTAGGATATGTGAGTTCTGACTTTGGAAATCATCCCACGTCTCACCTTATGCAGTCTATTCCAGGCATGCACAATCCTGATAAATTTGAGGTAAGAATAGTGTTTCTCTAGAATCACTATTTGCCTTTTTGAAATTCTATTTAAATAAACACAGTGATTGTTTTATTGTTAATACTTGTTAAATCTAGTCTTTCGGGAGGAGTTGGAGCCAGGGCTATTAAAATACTATGTGCTACCTTTCAGGTATTTTGTTATGCTCTGAGCCCAGACGATGGCACAAACTTCCGAGTGAAGGTGATGGCAGAAGCCAATCATTTCATTGATCTTTCTCAGGTATATGAATTGTCTTATACTTCCAACTTTTTATTATGAACAAATATTGAATAAAACTGTTAACATGTGATTTGGAGGCCATTTCTTTTCATCTTATTTTCTTGGCCATTTGTATTTAGAATCAGCCTCACTTTGGCTGTGTGGTTGCAAGGGGAATAGAAGTATTATTGTTTTTGCTTCTATGTATAACTTTTTAAAGCATCAAGCCAACACTTTTGACAGTTCTTTAATAATTATTAACTCAATAAATTGAATAAAATAGTGACTCAGAAGAAGACTCACTAGGTTATTTAAAGAAAATTGCTATTGTGATCCATGGTGGGGTTTTTTTTGGTGATCCATGTATTTTTGTGGGATTTTTGGTTATTATACTTGCACTGCTAGTTCCTCTAGGAATACAAGTTATGCGCTAAATAAAACTTGATATCCGGGGTAATGAATTTGCTGAGGATGAAGATTGGAAATTTTTCTTCAAATGCTCTTGGCTGCTTTGGTGATAATGTAACAGAATATGCAATATATGTTTTTATTTGGGGCAATTTCATAGGTTCTGACTTATAGTGACTCCATATCCTATGTACAACAGAATGAAACACCGCTCAGACCTACGCCAGCCTCAAAATTATTCCTATGTTTGAACCCGTTGTTGCAGCCACTGTGTGGATCCGTCTTATAAAGAGTGTTCCCCTTTTTAACTGTACCTCTTCTTTACCAAATACGATGTCCTTCATTCCTGAAAACTCGTTCAAAGTTTGTAGACCGAGTCTCATCATCCTTGCCTCTAAGGAGCATTCTGACTGTACTTCCAAGACAGATCTGGTGGTTCTTCTAGCAGCCCATGGTACTTTCAGTTTTCTTCACCAGCACCACCGTGGAAGTGCATCACTTCTGTCTTCCTTATTCAGTGTCCAGTTTTCACATGAGGTGATTGAACATACCATGGCTTCGGTCAGGCACACCTTAGTCCTCAAAGTAACATCCTTTCTTTTCAATACTTCAGAGAGTTGGCCAATGCAGTGGGTTGTTTGATCCCTTGACTGCTGCTTCCATGAGCATTGTTTGTGGATTCAAGCAAGACAAAATCCTTGACAACTTCGATCTTTTCTCCATTTTCCATGTGTTACCCGTTGGTCCAGTTGGGAGGATTTTTGTTTTCTTTACACTGAGGTGCGGCATAGTGGTAATGGCATAGTGGTTATGCACTGGGCTGTGATCCTCAAGGTCCACAGTCGCTCTGCAGGAGAAAGATGGGGCTTTCTACTCCTGAAAAGAGTTACAGTCTTGGAATCTCACAAGGGCAATTTGCCCTGTCCTATAGGCTCACTGTGAGTCGGCATCAACTCGATGACAGTGAGTTTTTATTGAGTTGTCATCCATACTGGAGGCTGAAATCCTTGATCTCCATCAGCAAGTGCTTCAACTCTCACTGTCAGCAAGCAAGGTTGTAACATCCGCATATTGCAGGTTGTTACGAAGCCTTCCTCTAATTCTAATACTACATTCATTTTCATATAGTCCAGCTTCTTTGATTATCTGCTCAGTATACAGATTGAATAACCATGGTGACAGGGTACAACCCTCATGCTTACCTATCTTGATGTTAAACCATGCAGTATTCCCTTGTTCTGTTCATTCAACTGCCTCTTGATACATGTCCAGGTTCAGCGTGAACAAAATGGTGTTCTGATTCCCTTTCTTCTCAAGGCCCTCCGTAGTTTGCTGTTTTCCATATAGTTGAATGCCTTTGCATAGTCAGTGAAGCACAAGTAAGCATCTTTCTGGGTATTCTTTGCTTTCAGCCAAGATCCACCTGATATCAGCAATTATATCTCTTGTTCCACATCCTCTTCTGAATCCGGCCATACTTTCTGGTAGTAATGCTGCAACTGTTGGATGATCTTCAGCACCATTTTACTTGCATGCGGTATTAATGATACGTACTAATTTCAGCATTCTGTTGTATAACCTTTCTTTGGAATGAACACAAATATGGATCACTTTCAGGCTGTTGGCTAAGTAGCTGTCTTCCAAATTTCCTGTCAAAGATGAGTGAGTGCTTCCAGTGCTTCATCAGCTTATTGAATCGTTTCATTTTTTCATCGATTTCTGGAGCCTTGTTTTAGGTTAATGCTTTCAATGCAGCTTGGATTTCTTCCGTCAGTACCATTGTTTCTTACTCTCATATGTTACTTCTTGAACTTGAATGTTGACTAGTTCTTTTGGTGTAGTGACTGTATATTTTTTCCATCTTTTTAAATAATATTTTAAAAATACTTTTATTGGGGGCTCTTACAGAGCTTATCACAATCCATACATTCATCCATTGTGTCAGGCACATTTGTACATATATTGCCAT